AGAATCATTCTTTGATATCGGGACTGAGAATTCTGGTTGTACATTATTTTACTACTATTATTATTCTATTTCTATCATATGTTTCTGGATCATTTCTCTGTGGCCTTTTATTTTGGTTCACATGGTCTTTTCATCTTTCTTCCAATTTAATAGAATAGTAACAGTGTACGGTATCTTGGACCAAGGCTTTGTTTCTGAATTATTGAGCAGTGGAACAATAGTATTGAGAGTTTTGAAATGTTATTGGATCAAATTTAGATCTGCCTTGGTGAATCACGAGCAATGAATTAAATATGTTGGATTGGTGTGATTCTTAGATTTGAATAATGTGATTAAATTGGTGAACAATAGCAGCATTGTACTTTATGCATGTGAGGACTCAAGCCTAATCAGCTGCCACAATCATATGATGGGATACGCATGCGTTTCTCATATATTATAAGTGTGACATTGAAAACATTGAGTCACCATGCAAGTTGTCACACTAAACGACGCCACAACGCCCAGTCTTTCTCTTAAGTACCTACAATGTTACTTACGTTGCTACTGCTGAATACGAATATGAATAAATTGACCCATTAAGTTGTACTATATAATTTTCCATCAAAATAAATTTGGATATATATATATATATATATATATATATATATATATATATATATTAATAAACATTATCTAATTCAATATTTTTTTGAAAAAAATAGGTGCCATATCAACGTAATCCTTATATCCTAGAGAAAAATATTATATACTAGACAAAAAGAGACCCTTTATATCTCTTTATTTATTTTAAAATATAAATAAATTATGAAGTAATTAGTTACTTAAAATATAAGTTATTTGAGACGATGAAATATAAAAATTAGAAAATAAAAACTAAATAAAAGGAAAAGACATTGAGATTTGGGAAAGAAAAAGAAAATGATTTAAATTCTTGAGTAAAATAAAAAAGGTAAAAAAGTTCATATAAAATGGGGACAAAAGTTTTTATTAAAAGAGATCTATATAGTATAGAATATAGATATTAGAACTTAAAAATAATATAGTATATAATAAATAAAAAAAATCCTCCCCTCCCTTTTCCCTTAAAACCCTACTCCCAAAATACCCTACACTTGAAGAAAGGAATTTAATTTATCCTTCCATTCACTTGTTACATTATGTCTTAATCCTGTTTTTATTTTTATTTTTATTTTTTGAGGGGATCTAAAACCCTATTTTGGGGGTCAATACAAAACACTTTACTCAAAGAAAAAGAATAAAATAGAAGATGGGCTTTTTTGAATCCGCCCCACTAAGTCACGGGCTGTTTCGGGTTTAAGACCCTGCAAACTGGTGGGCCCTCATCCCACTCATAGCACCGACAATCTGTTTCGGAAGTTGTTACGTTATATGAATCATGTTTTCTTTGCTCAGTATGTCTTGTCAACGAGTTGCACTTTTGTTCCTTATTATTCTCATTTTGCAAATTTTACCTCCTATTATTTTAATTGTCTTTTTTTTTTTTTTATATTTAACACTTAATGTTTAATAGTGAATTTAATCTCCTAATATTTTAATTGGGAATTTTTTGCCTATCAGTTAGCTTCACATAATATTTAATAGAAATAGTGATGTGACATTGTATTGTGTTTTAGTATGAATATGTCATCATATTTATATTGCCATGATACTCCACTGCATTATCACATCAATGTTAAATGTAAAGTTAATAATTATTTCGATATACTTGAAAAAATCTCACATAATTTAATAATTGAGATTAAAGATAATTTGTAAATATCTTTTTTTATATATATCAAGATGCCTTTTACAATCAAAATATTAGTGTTAAAAGGAGAATATAAATTATTCTTGTCTCTTAGACTCAATTAAGAGGTTTGTTTCAATATGCCTAAATAAGAATGACAAAAATATTTGTACTTGCAGGTATTTGCGGGTAAAATCTGTTACGGATAATAAATGGATAAGTTAATTGAGTATCCATGGATAATGGAGAAAGATAATTTTTTACTCATTTATAAACGAGGCGAGGGCGGATATGATGATATTCATACCCGCAGGTACCCGTTTAATAATATTTCTTAAGTATCATAATTATCTTTGTACCACATAACCCTAAAACTACATTCTCTCATCTTATTTTCTTTCCATAGAATTATGTTGGATGTAATTTAATTAATTTTTTAGCTTTGATTAGACCAATAAGATTTATGTATTTTAAGTTGTTTACTTTCGTTTGGAATTATGATATTGAATTATTGTAGCTTTGTCATATGAGACCTTCACTTACTTGTGTGAGATTGATGTATTTTAGGTTATTGATTATCTTACATTTTTATTTTTATTTCAACAAAATTAACGTTAAATAGAAGTTCAAAATTAACATTGAATTTTTATGTTTAATATTTTAATGACATTAAATATAAATTTAAAATTATTTGTAATCTAACTTTTTTAATTTCTTAAAAAAAATTATAAATATTCATGGATATCCGTGGGTATTAAAAAAATTCATAGATACCCGCGCGGATATAGGGTGGGTATGAGGTCAATTTTCATCTAGCGGGACAGGGACGAGTTTACTATTAAACGCCTCTACAGGGCCCCATTGCCATCCCAATGCCTGAAATAGTCCCAATACTATTGGGTTAAATAGTGAATTTGAGTCTTACTTAACCATACTCCCTTACCTTCAATATTATTGAGCTTGGTACCCGGATAAATAGTGGATGACTTGTGAGGTGAGGGTTGTTTTCCACTTATATATTTTTTAATTGTCTTATCTCTAGTCGATGTAAAACTTGAGTTTTTCCTAGTACACCTTCCTCGCTTCCAACATTATTGGCTTAGTACATGGATAAATGGTAGATGACCCTTTTTTTAAAGATCTAGGATAGATAACCTTTTTTTTAATGATCTAGGATAACTTTGATATCACCTTAAAATAGTAAATTTAAGTCTAACTCAACCCTACAAAACCAGCTTATAAGATAAGGATTGTTTTCTACTTGTATACACTCTTGCCTCTTAGCCTCGATCGGAGGACTTGTTCCGATATGCGTAAAAAAATCTCACATCACTTTAAGATCGAGACTAAGGATAGTTATAATAAATAAAAAATAATTAAAAAAAAAAACCTTCCTTAATCCATCAAAAATTCAAGATGCTACCTCGCTATCATCCTAATGGTGACAGTTGACTTACGATGGAAATACTAATAAAATAAAATCGTACACTTAAAATATTAGTGTTAAATTCACACAAAAAATGTGAAAATTAAATTGATAAGGAAAACAAAATTGCAATTAAACCTGAATTTTATTGGTTACAATTCCAAGTGAGACCTTTCTTTTCTTGGTTTCGGAATAATGCTTGACTAATTCCGCAATGCATTCGATATATTCACTATCATCGGTAAGCCATTATAGATAACAGAAATTCCTTCATGTACAATTTTAATGTGATAAATGTCCTACCCTGTTATTTTCGATTTTAATTCTGGAATGATGATTAAGGTAAAAGTAATTGGGATCATGGTCTGGGTATGTTGGATTGAGGGGAGTACTTTTTGAAAGAGAAACTTTGACACAGGTTGTGTACCTCTATTAATTATTCCTTTTTGCCTGCAATTACCACTATTGAAAATTGAATGGCGCTTGAGTATTTCGTCTTATTTATTTGTCATGCTCAGAAATTTGTGATTCCGTGGTACCGTAATATTGGCTGAATTATTCCTTTGGTAATAATGTCAAACTACAGTAAGTAGAGAATACACTCCACGACCCTACCACAAGAAGAAACTTAGATTTCACACAATAAACATATAAAGCTTAGTTGCGCCTAACCAATAATTTTGAGTTTGCTCAACTTGTCCCCCTCTAAAATGCATAACCTATATTCCCACAAACTATAACTATACCCCATATATTTATGCTTGGAAGAGTTTTTGCAAATTCTGCCAAACTTTCCTATAGTTTGGAGTGTATTCACCATACCTAACCTAGTTTTGCGTGTGCACTAAATCCACGAGGTTCCAGCTAGTAGAGAAAGTGGAAAAACAGTAATGAAAGTATACTTTGCATGTGTGCACCAAGTCCACGAGGTGCCCACTGGTAGAGAAAGTGAATAAACCCCCAAAGTAATGAAAGTATATTGGTGGGTTAAATGTAATTTATGTAAGTATTTACAAGATCCAGCATCATATTGACAGAGGTTGGGAATAAAAAAAAAACATATTGACTGAGATTTGATTCTTTGGCCTATATATGGAAAAAATTGTTAAAAACGACAGTCCACTTCAGTGACATATATAAAGTACTTAGGAAGCATGGAATGGAAAGATTAAAACGACCTAGTTTAAACAGAAAGATGAGTTGAACAATCTATTTGGCCGTTTGGGAGTAATAGTTTAAACTTTCAAGAGATAACTGCCAAAAAGCCATTCTTCTAAAATTGATCCTCCGGATTGTAACATTGATTGCCATAAGCAAAGTGTTCCTCCTATGCTACACTTGGCTAAACTTTGCACAAAATGGCAATCACAAAAGGATATGGTGCTATACTATACATAAAAAATCTGACCAACATTCAAGAGACTCTCATGAGGAACATTGAATATGACACTATTTTCCCTGCATACTTTCCTAAGAAATGCATATATATAATCAACAGCTATTTTCTTGTAGAATCTTGATTCCCTCCTTGCCCTCACAACTGTGTTTCCTAGTATGTGAACCACCCCAGCATCCCTGCAGCTGTTTAAAAATTCAAGTTCATCAATTTCAGTCTGGCTGCTTGTTTGACCAGAAGACCTGACTGTAATATTCATGTGGGTTGGTGATCTAGCTGGTACTATTGAGTCTACTGAGGACATTGTTAAATCCATAGTGGAAGAAACAGTGTTTCCATTGTTATGCATAAGGCCATCTCTTGAAGCCTCTATTTGGTGTCCATATAAGCTGTATTCATCTGAATCTGAACATCCTTCCATCATAGACTCAAGCCGAACGAACATGAAAAGGTTATCAAAGAGTTTTTTCTCAAAATCGTCATCTTTCTTGTGCAAATCTTTATACCCATACCGTGCGACACATCGAAAGATGTGGTAATTCTTAGGTCCAATCCTCTTGACAAGGAATCGCTCTTCTTCTGGGACTGTGTAGACAGGAAGGTATTTCACACATACAAAAACAACTACTGAATGGATGGCTGGTAGGTTGGTGATGAAATGAGAGAAGATGTGGGGTACTCCACTTGCAAGTTCAGTGTACACTAGTCCAATTCCAGGGACACGAACAAGTCCTAAACTCGGTCCAAGCCCGAGAATCCATGCCATTGAGACCTTACTATGCATTTCAAACTCGTAGCGCTTCACTGTGCCGTAATGCCAGACAGACATGATAATAAGGAATGCTCCAGCAATTGCAAGTGGAACCCAACCACCTTGATCAACTTTGAATAGTACTGAGGAGAAGTATGTGAATTCCACAATCAATGATAAGCCAGTGAAGAGGAGGACAAGAATCCAGTGGCAGCGCCACACTAGTATCATGATTAAAATCATAAGGAATGTTGTAACCAGCATGACTATCACAACTGCAGTACCTGTTATGACAACGACAATAATACAATTCAGTACACATGCTAAAATAAAGGCTGTAATGACATTGTAAAACAGAGGTGCAGCATTAAACATGTCGAAGAGCATTAAAAAGTTCCCTAAACAGCATATTATTGTTTTAAAATGTCGCATGATATATAGATCATCACAAAATACATTTGTTTTCAATTTCACTTTTTATCAAGAGTCTGTTTGAATACGAACTTAGAAGGACTTTTGAGAGCTTTAAACAGACTTTAAAACAAAAATGCAAAGATGCTGATGTACGTAGGATCTTTGCACTTCACATGATATTTTGGCATTAAAATCATTGTTACTCAAATGTCTTCTTATCAAGCCTGAAATTAAAAAGAAAAAAAGTGCATATATAAAAGCAAGAAAATATTCATGTTAAAATTCAACAAGGGAAAAAAATTACCGTATGCATTTCCAATCTGGTTTTGATTTTCGAACCCAGCAGTAACACCGATGCAAAGAATCATAAGGATCCAATTAATATCTGGAACATATATCTGGCCAAGGAATTTCTTTGATGTATATACAACTTTTACTCTAGGGAAACATCCAAGAGCAAGGGCTTGCTTAATAATTGAAAAGGTTGCAGTTATTGTGGCCTGGCTTGCAACTATGGCTGCAAATGTTGCAACAATAAATACTGGCCAGTATATTCTATCTGCAGAACTACAGATAATCAACATCTAATTGATAAACAACTAATACATGAAATGAATCTGTATCATTCATACAAACAACAAAAAAGGGCAAGTCAATGAGAGTATTTAAACATACTAACATTGAGAAACAAATACCATGGCAGTTCAGGCAAATATGTAAGCTGATCCACGCATGGAAATACGGCACAAGTTTGACAATGAAAATCCAATTATATACTATAACCACTACTGGAATAAATGATAAACCTAAGCAGCTAAATTCTGCACTGGAAAAATGAGGGCATGCTGTGAGGTAAAACTTTCTAGCTGGCTAGTAAAAAGAGAAGATATTAAAAGGAACAACACACAGGTTAGGGAAGTGATTCTCTCGTGTGAAAAAAAAAAAAACACTTCAAATTTTCAAGTGATAAGGATCTTATCAATAATTATTTTAAACTTCACTTTATAATTAAAAATATATTATATTATTAATATTTATTAAAGGATTAGGATCTTATCCAGTCATAATGTTACTAGAGAGGATCCATTCCCCACGGGTTAGGCTTCAATGTGCACACACACAGACAGGGATGTGCATTTGAACTTTGATTCATTCAAGTTGCTAAGGACTAGTTAAATTTACTACATTGATTGCAGTCTAGCAAAATGCAAGGATGGTTATTTTCACATTGTTATTCATTTTTTTTGTAAGGATCACAGATATTCTCTACTAGAGGCAATCTTGCTTTAGTTGAGTAGGACCACTATGGGTGCCAAACTATGAAGCCCAAATACTTAGTACGACACATGTATGATACAACATGGATACGATACAACACGAATATAAGGATATGACAATTTCTTAAAAATTTAGGATACGATATGATACGTTTTGGATACATTAATAAAATTTTACAGAAAAAATTATATAGATGTAGAATATTGGTAAAGAAAGATATTAAAAATTCTTTCTTATTAACTCATAACTGTGATGATTATAATTTGCAAAAAAAAAAAAAAGACTTGTAATCATAACAAAAAATGCAGTTTTTGCACATATTAAGTTAACTATATTAATAAAAGCATCTTTGATAGAACTTAAAGCTAATATTGATTCTATACAGTAGCTTATGACTCAAAAACATCATTACTAAATTACTGTCTAATGTTAATGGTATCACTCTCTTCTCCCCTGTTATCACCTTTGGTTCATCAAGAGAGAACTCTTCCAATTCAAGAAGCCTAGAATCATCATCAAGTGGATGATGTATATCTCTACTAATGTCTCACAGCCTAGTCTCTCCTTTTTTATACCCTTCATCTTTCATAAACAAAAGTCAAAGGTTGAAATGCATATAAACAGAATCTTCTACCCTTTAAGATCCATTTTGTTTACCTTTCTAAGCATGACAAAAAGCATGACTGTACAAAAAGCTTAAGACAAGTTTTTTTTTGGATACCTTTTAGATACATATCTAGAAGTATCCAATAAGTATCTGAGAAAAAAAGGTAAAAAAATAAATAAAAAAGATTGGATGCTTTTTAGGATATGTATCTGGAAGTATCTAAAGAGTATCGGTATCCAACACGGATACGACACCGATACTTCATAGGTGCCAAAGCTCTCCCTCCAAGTATTCAATGTAGTTGTATATCCAAGACTCAAACTTAAGACCTCTAATTAACCTAAAACAATCTCATACCAATTGATCCACACGCTTGAAACCTCTGGAAAAGCTGACATTGCTATTCTTATATCATATAGAAAATGACTCCTATTTAATTCAACCTATGGTGCCAATGCCAACAATTGGAACAAGAAATAATTGCTTTGTAACACAGAAAGAAATTAGTTAAATTTGAAAAGAGGAGGGGAAAGAGAACATAGAGAAGAATCCATTAAATTTTGTATTCTGAATGTGGCAATATACTCACTGATTATCAGAATATATTCCTAAACAGAGGATTTTGGGATAATTTTCTATCACACCCTCATTTCATCATCAACATACATACAGAAGAGCTAGCCGTCAGGTTAGAAAATAGAAACTATGATATGAATAAATTCCTAAGCTTTGGCTAATAAACAGACCACTACCTAAAATAAAAATAAAAAAACAAATATTCTCCTAATAATTACATATCTGCAAATAATAACCACATAATTTCAGAATCAATTTAATCCCATGATTCTTGTGATTTTCCAACAATTCCAAATACTTTAGGTAAATGACAAACGAAAATTTTTTGTGTGAAAAATATGACTAACCTGGAATAGACCGATAAAAAGCATCTTGTGAATGGCTCAAGTTATTCATAAGGTAAGCAGCCTGACCAGTATAAGCCAAAAGAAGGCAAGGAAACACAACTAGAGTAAATGCAAGCTGTACAGCTGAGACCGGAAAATGAGCTAGATCAGCAAAAAGAGCCTCTGTCCCTGATAAAAATCATCACAAATTGTCAAGTAGGTAAGTACAAAATAATAACTATTCAATTCATTTGTTAATGCTTCTGAAATACACAAAGGAAAGCAACAGCAATAAAAAATGGAGTCTTACCAGTTATGCTGAGCATGATCCCACCAAGGGAAGTCCAGCCTTCTTTTCCTCCTCTTCTAAAATAGCGATATATATAAACTGGAGAAAAAGCTTTTAGAACACTACTTCCATACTTCCAGATGTTAAATATACCTATTCCTCCAATTAGGAGAAACCAAAGAAGGACAATTGGAGCAAAGAGCCAACTAACTCTATCTGTGCCATAATGTTGCAAGCTGAAGAACCCAACTAATATTACCACAGCAACCAGCACTACTACACCTGTATTCCAGACAAAAAGAAGCATTTCAAGACATGCACTTAAAATTAATTAAGAACAATAAATTCTTCCCAATATAGTAGTAGCAATTGAAGAAAAATGTCTTATCAAAGGCGTAGGAGCATACCACTACTCATGTGAGGCTGATTTACCTTGATGCCACCAACAGCTGACAAAACTACAACAGAAGATATGGTTATGAATCTCTTCAAATAAATGGAGGATGTGTTAAAGATGATACTCAAGAAAAAACACTAATACCAATTAAAACATTCAGTATGGAGCCTCTTGCAACACAACATACATAAAACATAAATAGAAAAAGATCCAAGAAATAATCAGGGGCTTGTTTGGTTTGAGAAGATGTTCTGTTTTTATTTCCTATTTCACTAATAACTACAAAAATGTTATTTTATTACCACTGTGTTTCCTGTTTGCCAAGATTTGTATATGAAATGAAATGGTGAAAATAGTATTTTCAAAAATTTGTTATTTTTAACACCTTGCTTCAATTTTTTCCTTGTGTTATTTCTGACTTATTTCATCAACCTTAGACTATAATGAAAACAAGCTCATAAGAACATATCAAACAAAGCAGATGGCAATCATACTTACAGCTTTCAAGTTAATTGTATCCATATGAAAGACCAATTTAAGTTTTCCCAAGATCTTCCTATATATATGGTGCAAGAATCAGATAAAAGATGACAAATTGTTCTCCAAAGCAATGAATAGAGCAGAGTACTCTGTGCATGGTACAATACATCTGAAGAAAAGAAAGTCTACTCCTAAAAAGTAATGAACCAAGTACAAAAAACACAAGATTTCTAAGTACTATACTAATCATGAATTCCTTGCCCCTCTCAAGCTTCATTTTAAATACATCTTTGTTGCTGACTCTATTAGTTCAAGTAGCATATAAGGTCATTCTACCAATAAGTTATATCCACATCATTGTCCTTTTTTATCATCCCCTATGATGAATTTGCAATTACCTTTCACAGTTTGGTAAATCAGCACAAATATGCACACATGCATAATATACAATAGCACATGCATTGATAGATAACTTACTTTGGTAAACAATAAACATCAAGCAGGTTGAAATTTATGAAAATATTTTTAAGAAAAAGGGAACAAGATCAACTTCAAAAAGAAGGCATACCAGATATAGCTGGGGTAAGAATACCATCTCCAATAACCATGCAGGTGCCAACAAGGACAAGAATAAGAATGACACTCTTTGCAGATTCTTGTTCTTCTAACCATCTTTTGGTTTTTGCAGCAAATGACCTTTCATGGAAGGTAGAACGACTATATGTCGTTAACTCTTCATCTGTTCGATGCTGGTTGGGAATGGTTTTTATCTTTGCATGTCGGCAAAGCAAGGAATAAAGTGCAAATGTCCCACCTGTTCCACAAATGTTAGTTTGATAAAACTTCATTGCATCTCAGAAGTCTGAAGCTAGCATATCTATCTAATGTGTATGTGACCCATATAAAAAGTTAGTGAATCTTACAGTTATGAAAGGACACTGGATAACAGGGTTATCAATTTGTGGATTGTGGAAAATGGAAGAAAGCCAATAATCTACTATGTTAATAGCAGAAGTCATCGCATAGCAGTTGATATATATATATATATATATATATATATA